TGGCTGAGAAGCAGCACCTACAAAGAAAGCCAGGGGCTGTGCTGAGTTAGCAGACGCTGAGCAAACAGAGGGGGGTCAAAGTGGCTGACAGTGAGAGCTCATACACCGCAGTATTTAATGGCAAAACCAAGGGGTAGAACAGACCTGCAAGAAGACCGAGTGGTGGATTTCATAAATATCTGCAGAAACACGAGAGAGAGAGAGAGAGAGAGAGAGAGAGAGAGAGAGAGAGAGCTCCTTGAGATCAGAGGGATGGCCAGCAGACATCTCAGAGAATGGGGTCTAGAAATGCCTGTGGATTTTGTGACTGGAGGACACAGTTTATCCAGGAGAGAGTTGGGAATTGCTTTGACAGAGGAGTGCGGGCACAAGCACGCTTGAATTGGACTAGGGTAAGAGGAAAGGCAGAATGTACTCCCCTCTTAGAAAATTCCAAAAGTAGAGGAGAGAAATTATCCCACAACATGGGTGATTTCAGCGTGATTAAAGATGGAAGAGAATAACCGAGAGAGGTAGTTTAGAACACCCTGTAGAGCAGGGTTAATCACTGGGTCGTGTCCCATGAGGTCCGGCACAGAGCTTGGCTTAGACAGCTGAGAGATGGCGTCCACATGTCTGTCCGCAGTCAGGAAGGAGGTGTGCTGGGGAGTGGGGGCGCGGACACATCGAACTGGAAGCTTAGATGCGTATCTTTCAGAAACGACTCGGTGTTTACGTGACAGTAAGTTTATGCCATCTGACTTCTCTGGTGTATCCAAAACATGGAGCAGCGGGAACAGTCATAGAATCTGTAGTGTAAAGCACTTGTAAGGCAATTTTCTAGGAAATGTCTTTCTTTGCAATACTGCTGGGAAAATAGATTAATCACTCAGCATCACTATTCAGTATAACTTTTATCATACTCTATCTATTAAGTACCTACCAAAGAAGACTGTCTCATTAACCTTTCACCGGCGTTCACCAGCGAATTACAATAGCTACAGTTTTATTAATATCCACCAAACATAAAAGGAATTCAAGGTTTATAAATATGTTTATATTATAGTCTATATGAACATTTAGAAAAGTAGCCATGGTTTAATGTTTTCTTTTTTTTTTTATTCCTTTCATTCCAACTTCTTTTTAAAATTAATCCTTTTCCTCAATACATTTTTATTGACTATTACATTTCTACTTATTTTATGTTTTGTAAGGCTGTCTGAATTTTAAAAAGACAAAAACACAAACACCAAAAATCCAACGGTGTATGTTATGATCAAAGGGATGATCTCCCAAGATGCTGATCTAAGCTGTACTCAGTCGGCAGCCACCAAACAGTTTTGATTGAGTCTAAGGAACTTTCTATGTAATACTGAATATTTCCGGATATATTTCTTCAAATAGAATGCCTTTTTTCCTCATCACTTGCCTTTTTACTTTTGCAGGTGAAAAGCTAGAAGGATGTTTAAGTGCTGGCCAGCAGTTTTGGTACTCGGATTCATTTTTCTGGAGGCAGAAGGAAGGCCAACGAAAGAAGCAGGGTACAGTCTTAAACCCTACCAGCCCCTCGTGCGACTGAGACATAAGGTACAGTCAGAATTCTGAATCTGCCCCTTGTTCCTGCCAAGTACTAACTGCGCTGGTGGTTGTCTTTTATTCATGTAAGGGCATTTATTTCAGAATATGTTTACAGAAGTTTCCATATTACTAAAAAATACACACTGTACACCTTGAAATAAGTAGCATTTACAGTATTGAAAATTAAATACTTCATGACAAAAAAGTAAAGACTCATTTAAAAATTACACAGTTCACACAGAGTGAATATAATACATTCACAAAAATAAATATATTAAGGAGAAATAAGCCATGCAATTGCTATCATTTCCATGTTGATTTAAGTTTAGAACATTTTAAACTAAAAAAACAAAGTGTTATGCTCTGGAATTTATCATCATAATAAATAAAAAGATATCTATACATCTTGCAAATAAAGATTTGGCAATGGGATACATTTCCATAGAAATTACCAGAAATTTTAAGGACCAGCAGTTGGCGTAATGGCTATGTCGCTGGACTCCCACATAACTGACCACGGTTCGAGTTCCTGTGCTACAGGGAGTGTGCACTCGCCAGAAAGACAGAGAGAGACAGAGAGACAGAAAGTGAGAAATCACCCCCCAGGGGGCATGGCCACAGTGCAATCCCTTCTCCTCCATGCTCCTCTTGGGATCTTAGGCATTCACGCACATGCGCCCGGCGTGAGTTAGCCACCGGGTCTGGGACTCAAACTGCGGTTGGCTACATAGGAGTCCAGTGACATAGCCATTACGTCAACTGCTGGTCCCACTAGTGCTTTTATTTTGACAGCCCATGATACTGCAAAGAAAATATTCAAGCAATTTCTTATTAAATCAAGTAAAGGTTTATAATTCACTTTGGGTTACTATAAAAAGTAGAGAAAACACAAAAATTACATTCTAATTATGAGAGAAGTTATATATATTTGTAAAATTTTTTATTCTACTGGTCTTTAGAAAACTCTAGAAATAAATACTGAGTTTACATTCTATATATGCTATCGGTGTTTACATTGCATATATGTTTGCTGAAATTCTTTTCTAAGTATCGCAGTATTTTGGTGAAATATCTCATCTTTACTAAGCATTCTAAATATTGGGCCAAATTTTAAACTGTGTTATTTAATCTTCAATTAATCTTATAAAAATATATTTGTTTTTATTTTATAGATGATAAGTTAAAAATCTTCAAAACGTTAAGGAATTTTTCTAGTGCATACATTTTTAAAATAAATTATCAAGAGCAAGCGAGGGATAACATAAAGAATAAGTTTGATGGCCAGGAAAAAGAATATTAAGCAAAATGTGAAAATATACTTCAATGCCAAAAAACATTGAAAAATGTGTTCCCCTGTGAAAATAAGTTTTAAAGTCCTAGTGTCAATGCGTGCTGTAGGAGACCTGGCTTTGTCCACTGTCTTTCAATTACCGATGGTGTCCTGCTCCTCACGGACACGTTAGCCACGTTTCAAGCTGTCTGACAGCGTTCCTTCCCCAGCGATTCCCCGTGGCGTTTTTCTCCCTAGTGACATGTGTTCAGGAGAACTGTCGTTCTCATCCTTTTATTTCTGGTTCCATGAACATTGTAGATGTTGTTTAATGAATCAGTGGCATTGGTGCGGTGGCAGAATGTGTGGCTGCTTCTCTGACTATGGCCCTAACTGACTACGGCCCTAAGTGACAGGTTTTTAAGCACAGTGTGTACATTCACGAACTGCTCTGAATTAAAGTTCAATGGTAAAGATAAGCCACTTTTGCACTGCCATGAGATTCAGAGAAAAGAAAAGCTGTGATGAGTTACACTAGTGCGGAAGCGTGAATGCCCACCCAAACTGATCGCAGCCACCTCCGATCTTCCCCACCTCCGGGTGACTTTACCACCAGGTAGAAGTATGTCCTCGTTGGTATTTAAAAGCGCATAGGCAGAGTGACATGGTAATACTAAGTTGGAAACAGTTTCAGACAGAGGTGAGATTAAGATAAAGGCATTTGGTGTGTGTGAGTGTGTGTGTGTGTGCATGCATGTGCGTGCGTGTGCCACTGTGGGAGGGAGAGAGAGAGAGAGGAAGCGGATATTGGACAGGTATGGAGCGTGGCTCGGAGTTGTACGACTCCTGTGAAAACCGCGGCCGACTGTCCACTCTCCGTCGAACGCGCCAGCTGCACCTCGAGCACTGCCGTCCCTTCTCTGAGACCGTCATGTTTGTAGTATAGCTTTCATTGTGTTAGTGTCGGTCACTCTGAGGATTCCAGGAATTCCTGTCATCTTTTTCACTGATCTCATTGACTGAAAGTGGAGCAGCCACGGGGCTGAGGCTTTATTCCACTCCCTCTCCCTAGCCTTCTCTGGTGAGTGGACAATGACTTCTCCCAAAGGTATTTTTAAAAAGAAGAAAACAGAACGGTCACGAACAAGCTGTGAGTCCTTTCTACCCACAGAGCTCATCCCCACTTACTAGTTTGTGGACACATCCTCGCCTCAGGGTGTGAGCCGTCCACCCTGCCCAGCACCTGGAACAGGATCTGCACCTGGTAAATACCTGAAAAATTCCGTGTATGTGGAACAGGAAGTTCTGACCGATGTCTAGAAGGCTGAAAACAAATTAATATATGTATCATGTATACATATATTTATCGGTATTTCTATAAGCAATTATAATTAATAAGTTCAGTAAAATAGCCTTTCCCTGTCATTTATCAGAAAATACCAGGAGATTTTCTTTAAAATGTTTTTCTTTAATTTAAAAATAATTTTATGGGGCCAGCAGGTGGCATGATGGTTAGAAGCACTGGACTTCCACATGGCCTGCCGCGGTTCAAGTCCTGGACCTGGTGTCTTGCTTTCTCACTGTCTCTCTCTCTCTTTCTTGCTCCATCCCTCTCTAGTCATCTAAATCAATCAATTAATTAATTAAGTTAAATAAAATCTTTTTTTAAAAAAAGTAACTTTGCCAGAAGGCACGTACACTCACTGGAAAGAGAGCCGGGAAGAGAGAAAATGGGAAGATGAGGTCACACCACAATCCCCTCTGTTTCTCCCCCTTTTGGTATTTCGGCCATTCATGCACATGTTCCCAGAATATTTTTTCAAGCTGCCAGGACTGAGACTCGAATCATGTATTAGGCCATGGGATCTAGCTGCCCTAACCAACGTGACACAGGCTGGCCCAATTTTAAAAATTAATTATTTTATTATTTTTAGCATTATATAAATTATTTTTAGCTGTAATTTTAACCTATATAGTTTTATCTAAGCTTCAAAGAATACTCTCTCACACACATATGTGTGTGTATCTATCTATACATAAATATATTTGTAAGACTGAAAGAATGCATAAGGAGATATACCATTTGTCACTAATATTAAATACTAAGTATTGACTAGAAAAATATAAAACACATAATAGACAAAAAAGATCTTTGGTTTGATTAGCCATTTTCCACACTTCTT